CACGCAGGAGGCTCTTGATGGGGGCGGGGGGAGGAGCAAGGGCACAGCAAGCTCAGGGGAGGGGGTGGGAAGGGGTGGAGTGGGGGCAGGGCCTGTGGCAGAGCCAGGGGTTGAGCAGTGAGCAAACCCCCGCCCCCAGCACATTGGAAAGTTGGCACCTGTAGCTCCAGCCCCAGAGTCGGTGCCTACACAATGAGCCGCATATTAACTTCTGAAGAGCCACATGTGGTTCCGGAGACACAGGCTAGCCACCCCTGGTCCGAGAGAATAACCAGTGGGCAAGAACTCAGAAGCTATAATTTCCATACAACAATAGGTTTAGTTGCATACACATCAAGACTAAAGCCCTCAGTTCCTGTTAGGCTCAGCCCACCCATATGATATAGTACAGGAACCCATACCCACAAGTATTCACAGGTACACTGCCCAGAGACCCTGACCAAAGCTCAACAATTAAGACATGCAAGAGGAAATATGTATTCAGTCATTCCAGCAGTTGGAGGATGTTACAAGTTGGGAGACTTTCTTCCAAGTTCAAAAATAAATACTGCAAAGCACAAACAGATTTGAGGGCAAATAGGATATAGAATCATCTACTGTCATGAATGTCAGCACGAGACCTGCTCCACTCTTTGGAGTATTAATCACACCTAAGTAGTAAGAAAAGATTATCCACCTTCAAAGAAGGATTAGATGTTTACATGGAGAACAAGAGTATCCAGAACAGCAGCAGCTGATGGTAGCAACAAGTATTGTGAAGGATATAAAATCTCATGCTTCCACAGTTTAAATCAATCTCGAACTATTACAGATTAGGATCAGACCTCCATGGGGGCAAATTATTCTAAATCTGCCAATTGTGGGGTTTCTTATACCTACCTCTGAAGCATGAAGTACTGGCCGCTGTCAGAGACAGGACACTGAACTAGATGAACTATGGATCTGATCCAGGAAGGACCACAGCAAATGCCATTGTAAAGGGGGCCCGTTCAACTACAAGAGTTAGTTCAGTTGACCAATACCAAAAAGTTATAGGTAGCTGAACACACCAGAAATTCAGATAAAAAAAATATTTAACCCAGATTATGACCCAATACAGGCACAACAGAAAAACCTGAGACAGGATCATTAGGTTTAACACATCCAAATACTAAGCAACTTGTGACATATGAGAAGCACAAAGATTATCGAAGGCCTAACCTGCACCTCCTCCAAGAAGAGGCAAGAGCAAAAATATTCCAAGCCCATCTGTGACCTGATCCAAAGCTGATTAAAGTCAACAAGCCTTTCAATTGATTTAACAGTCTTTGGATCAGGCCAATAGCCCCATAACCTACTTTAGATAAGACCCTGAGAAAGCAGACAGAGCATCAGACAGGCACAAAGGATAGGCAATCTGAAGTAAGTGGGCACCTGGAGGCACCCCTCCTCAATCAAGAGGTTGCATTCAATTTATTAAAAGGTTATTTGGGAGTGTCTACTTGAAATAGTCATCCTCTGCATGCAAAGTATTATATAATAAAATACTGGGAGACAGTATGTAAGAGGTGCAGAAAAAAAAACTTGCCTATGTGCTCTTATATGTTATGGACTCCATATTAAACACAAAGATACACATCCAGTGACCTTAGTAGAGGAAAACCTTACATCCTATTCACCAGGGATTTATTTCCCCAGGGACCACTCCTACAGAGGTCCAACCATCAATCAGCTTAGCCTATATAAAGTTGTTTTGTTTTACTGGTGGGAAAGAGACCACCAGGAAACTCCTATAGCACATTAGCATCAACAGCGTTTTCTGTCATGGAAACATCCTCTGCCTTTCCTGGCTTGATGGTTCAAACATAGCACATAATTAGTGGGATACATGATTCATCACTTGTGGTGGTCAAGCTCACTGCAGGCACCACAGGCTCCTTGCATCTCTTCATTTCCCCATATGGTCTCTATGCCCCTCCCTCCCCCAATTTCAGGGACCCCCTGCAACTCCTCCAAATCTCTCCAACTGCTAGGGCCTCTCTTTCTCCCCTGCTCCCTCTGTTCTCTTCCCCTACACCAGCGGCTTTGTGTTCAGCCCTATTCTCACTTCCTGCCATGCCCTCAGTGGCAGAGGCTCCGTTTCCCCTTCTTCCGTACCAGATTCCCCCAATCTCCCACACCAGGAGTTTTATGTGGTCCACATTCCCTTGTCCAACCATTGTAGGGGCCTGTGCAGCCCCATTCTCCTCTTTCATCCTACTACCCCAGTACCAGGGTGCCCACAATCCACCCTTCCAGGGACCCCGTCTGCCTCCATTTCCACCTTCTCCACATTGCTAGGTGTTCTGTGAGACTCCTTGTCCCTCCTGTACCAGGGGCTGTGTATTACTACTTCCCCCCATGACAGGGCTGTGTGCCTCCTATTTTACCTTATCCTGACACCAGAGGTATTCTGTGTCCCCCTTGCCTCATACCAAGTTCCCCCAATATCCACCCACCAGAGGTGCTGCATTTTCCCCATTCTCACTCCATAGCAGGGACTGTATACACTCCCACTTCTTTCCCCTGTGCCATGGTACCTCAATCTCCCCTGCAAGGGATACTGTGTGCCCCATTTCCCTTCCCTCCACTATCACCTCCACCCATGGCAGGGGTTGTTCGAACCCCCATGGCATGGGCTGTGTGCCCAGTGCCCCCTCCATGGGTTCCACATCCTCTTCCCCAGGTCAGAAGTTGTGTGCATACCCCCATTTCCCCCCTCCCCCCCAATTATTCTGACTTTTCTTCCAGACAAAGCATTCAGGTCACTGACCTGTTAAACTCACCTCTGCTCATCTTCCCAATAGAGATGGAATATTGTTACTAGTAGGTATTAATGGGTACCATCAACCAGCTCTTTGATCTATAGGCTACTGCAGATGTGCCCCAAGCTGAGACAGTGGTAAAGAGCTGGTAGGGACTCCCATGTGTCCCCAAGCTTCTCCAAGTCAACAGGGTTCTGGCCTTTGATGCCTAGCACATTTCTGAATTTCTGGGATAGTTGTTACATACAACCGAAATGTCAATGAGTTGAGTGCAAGGCTTTTGCAAGATCAGCCAAACTGTTACAACACGGTGGCTTGATTCTTCATTTGAATGAGGATCACCTTCCAATTCAATTCCACTTTCCTCAGCAGGTGAGCTGCAGTCTGAGCTCCACACTGGCATGGAAATGAAAAGTGGGAGTCAGAGCAACCAGCACTGGTGCCAGCAAATCTCTCAAGCACCCTTCACTCCTGTGCTATACCTTAAATGTCTTCCTCCACATAAGGCCTTCTCTATTAACCTCTGTGATGCAGACCCATGTTTCGTTGGTCAGCTACTTGAAGCTCTTCTGGAGTGCACGGATGCCTTGAGCCCTAACAGGAGGCAATGATTTCAAGACCAGCCCAAGGACTGGTACTAGAAGCAAGCAACATACAGTGCATAAAAGGTCCCACACATGTGGCAGTTATGCACAGCACTTTTCAAAACACTCAGCTCAGACACCAGTGCTTCCACATGCACGATCAATATTCTAAACAATATGCAAAGGAGATTCCATGGGCCTGGTCACTAGGCTAATACCCCACCATGCATAAGGCAGTTGGACCATCTATGGCACATTGTGCCAGGGGGAGACATATTGGTGCACTAGGTGCTAGTCAGAAACAATGGTGCCTTGGGGAGTTATGAGGAGCCAGAAGAGGTGGTGGGCCACTGAATCCCTCGTTCAGTGAACCACACTGAAGACATCTATGCCACAAAATACCTAAAGACCTTGAAGAACCAATATCTCATGGAGTCCACCCCAGCCCCTGTTGTGGATCCCCCAATCTGCACTCTCTGTGCACCAAGAAAGTAATAGGCTAGGAGTAAGTCTGTCTCCAAGACCCAAAAGGCTCTCCAGTTCCTAGGCCCCATCAACACAAGCTGCCTGAAGCAGCTAATAGGTAGGTCTGGGAGCACACCACATTTGGAAATAGCTGACACCCCATCCAGTTGTGAAGCCACTGTCGGACTTAGGAGGCAGTCAAGTGCTGCATAAATCAGGAGGCATGGCTATTACAGGAAGCATGTCACATTCAGAGCTTTGATGATAGCATTTAGCAAGACCTTTGAACTTAAAATTTTTTTCAATACTCTGAATTATAAATTCACTATAGCACAAATACACACCTGAGTTTAATAGGTCAATTTAGATTTACGTTACAAGGTTCCCATTTTCATAATAGATGTTAACATACTACTTATACAAATAGAGAAAGAACTACACTTTCTTAAGAGGATTATTACAGATTCTTTTTCGTGGGCTACACTGACTCACTTAATTCTAGACCTTTAAATTAAATTATGTTTATTGTGTTACATAGTCTTTCCTTGTGTGAACATGGCATTACATACCAAAACCCAGGAAGAGCCAATGAATAATTGAATAAGGAAAAAAAAACCCTAATGCCTAGTATCTTATAAAGATAATACATGCTGTTCCAATATAAGCAGGAGAAAAAGATCCACTGAAGTTTGGTTTCCCTAATAAATCATAGAATTCAGATATGGCATGGCATGACATTTTTGGGTCCTTCAAAATTCACATTTGATAAAATTAACAGAGTGGCAATATGACAAAAATGAAATAAAAAAAAATATATCCAGTAAGTTTTACTCTAACATTGCCAGTTCATTAGCAGTTTCTGACTTGATACTCTAAGTGCTACACAACTTTCACGCAGATTTAAAGTATGTCAAACCTGAGGATGATGTTGGCTACGTGAGCAATTCTCAAAATTTTTTTCCATACTATGTCCAATGTAACAAAATAATTTCCAGATACCCCTCTCTCATCTAGCTACTAAAAAAAAGTAGTTGTGACCCCCATTGTTGGAAGAACCCATATTCCAGGTAGGTTAGGAACTCTTGTATTTTTTTAATTGCTGCTATTTCAGAATGAAGGATTTTCCCCACATTAGAACTTGAAAAAACCTCTTAACGTTAACTCATAATTAGATGCATAATTCAATTTTATTGAACATTTATAATTTCTTAAACTAAAAAGTACATTCAAATATACTGTTTTAATATCCAAACAGGTGCCAAAATATGTAATTTAAAAAAATTATTTCAACACATACAGATGTAATCTAACCCTACAAGAAACAGATGAAAACAGCATTGTTTGCAAATATGTCAGTCAACACTGTCAACAAAAGTGACTCTTGAACCATCTACAAAATTTTGTAGAAGTCTGCAGTAGACTCAAATAGCTACTAGCAGATTCTTCATATGGATTTTGTATGCTCAAAAGTCCAGCACTGAGGAGCTGCATATGTTGCCACTTGCACATTTGGAGAAGCTGCTGTAACTAAAAATCCATCTTCTTTACACTTTCCTGCCTAACTTCAACTTCATCAGTTCCTTCCATACTTGCTGCTATCTCTTCCACAGCAGTTGCATTATCTTTCTGGATAAATGTAGACGCCAGCAACAGTTCCCCTCTGTGGCCCCCCATGCTCTTGTGAGTCCTCTCCTCCTCGGAGTCATCCAGTTTTTTCCTCCTCAGCTGGAGCAGCACTGCAGAATATAGATGGACATTTTATTTTAAAATGTTTCATTAACTAGACTGGTAACATACATTGTTCCATCTATATTTGAAATATCACAAAATATTTACCTATTTGCTTTCACATTTGGGATTGAGGACATCCATTTTCTTCCCAAGAATTCTCCATCACAGTAAAGTAATGTTGATATAAAACACCATCTTTCCTTTTTCTTATATAATTCCAATTTGTAATAAAATTCACCTTAACAGCATCAACATGATTAAGCATAGAGTCTGATTTTTACTGGCAGAGTTATGAGGGCTTGCACTCATCTCGATGGTATTTCTGCATTTGGACATGTTACACGATAACTTCTGAATGCTGTGTCCAATCAATTCCAAAATTTTCAGGGAGTGTACTAAGTATCAACAGGCAGAACCCTACTCATTTTGGTGACAACCGGAAAAAACAAAGGGAGAAATGGGAGACACAGAATGGGTTTGCAGAACTAGCAGCTTCAGCCACCTCCACAACTGTCCACAGGAGCAAAGAACCAGTTGATGGCAGCCATTATCACCTTCCAGTTTTACAATACCCTCCCCTTAACTCTGCCCATCCTCCCAATACAGTTTAAAAATGTTGACAACTCTGAAAAAAAATAAAAGAAACAGAAAAAGGATGAATAAGAATGGCAGGGGAAATGGGAGCACACAGAACCCTGGCGGGGGGAAGGGAGGAGCTGGAAGGGGAGAATGGTGGACCTGGCATGAGGGGAAAGGGGACCACACAGCCCCTGGCATAGAGGAGATGCGGGCTGGGGAAAGCTTGTTGGGGAGAGGGGGATGTGGAGGGAGCCAAGGAGCCTTTGGGGTTGTGCAATGAGCTCAGACAATAGAAGCAACGTAGCAATAGTATCACCTGCTAGATTACTCCTATTTTTCAGTCGATTATATCTTTCCCTATGTCTTCATTGGGGAGACCGTTTAAAATGTTAGTAGAACCACATTCTCTGTAAACGCAAGAGAGACTTATACATCCCTGTCATGCTGCTGTAGTTTGGGTGACAGGAGAAAACATTCTGATAACAGGGCATTACACGTATTAGATGCTAAATGTACTTTTTTATTATACATACAAAAAAAAGAGGCTATGTTAAAAGAACACTTAGGTTGCCAGTCAAGCATTCGTAAATTAGGAAATACTAGATTTAGGGTTGTCTGTGCAAACTAAGTTCTGCCTCCATTGTGCATCTTTCCTATGCACTGAATGAGGCAGAGTTCTGTGGAAAAGACAGCATGTGATCATGCAGTTAAAGACAACCATAATGCATATGCACAAGGGGTCAAATAAGGTTGCACAGACAACCATAAATCTGACATTTTCTAACTTTCAAGTGCTTGACTTTGCTACCTAAATAATGATCTCTAATTTAGGGTTTTTTCTACATAATTTCCTAAGTTTTTAGTCAAGGAAAAAGGTAATATAATTTGTTTTTATGTGCAACTGTAACAATCCCTATCATGCAGTGTTTAACCCTGAGCCTTTCAGCAGTGGAGTAGAGACTGCAACCCCTTAAACCACAGAATTAACTTCATTAACATGCAGCAGCAAAAGGTGGTTATTCAGGATGGGTCTATCGGCTTGGGGAGTGGTTGAAGGGGTAGCCCAGCTGGTCTGGCTTTCCCATCCCCCTGAAATTCGGGGAGCTCCTGCTGCTCCTGGTGTCCCTAGAAAAGGGCCAAGGAAGTGGGCCACTTGGGCTGTTTGCTGAATCTGTGGGTGGATGAGGAGGAAGGCAGAGCCCAGCCTGGTTCCCGCCTCATGTGGTGCCTCCATAGGAGGGTATGGGACACTGGGGCCATGAGCCATGTCCAGGTGAGGGGACCTCAGCTCTTCCCCTTCCCCTCTCCAGCTGCTTTGGAAGCTCCTACTAGTTCCCAGTATGTCTGCTGTTGTAGTAGCAGCAACAGCATGAGCCACGAGCATGCTGCCAACATTTTCCTGAGGAATGCAAGCAAAAGGTGGCATTTTCTAAACAGCCTGTAACATAGCAAAAGCTGAACACAATTTCATGGGACAAAGAAAAGGTACTTCCCTAGCCTAATGGCATGCCCCCATGTCAAATATCAAAAGTTCACCTCAAACAATAGAAAAGTGATAGAAATGTCCTGAGAGTTCTTTACAGAGGAAAGTGTTAGGCAATTTAAGTATAAGGGTCGTTACCAATTCCCCCTGTAATAACTTCGGTCTGGTCTACTCCTAAAAATTAGATCAACCTAGACTGACATTGCTTGGGGCTGTGAAAAATTTTGTGCCCTGGGCAGTATAGTTAGGTCAAGCTAACCCCTGCTGTAGATGCATCTAGGTCAGAGGTGGGCAAATTACGGCCCGTGCACCAATTCCAGCCCATGGGACCATCCTGCCCAGCCCTTGAGCTCCCAGCCGGGGAGGCTAGCCAGCCCCGGCCCCTCCCCTGCTGTCCCCTCTCTCCCGCAGCCTCACCTCACCACGCCGCCAGTGCTCTGGTCCACCGCTCCTGGCATGTGGTGCGGCTGGCTCCGGCTGGGCTGCGAGCTCCTGACGCTCTGAGTGATTTTTCAGGCTTATCACAGTACTAAATTTTGTATTCTTCACAATACTGTAGACATAATTCACTCAATCTTTTTTGTACTATTTACTTAAACATATTAAGAAACCTTACTAGAATTATACAACAATTGAAGTGATCTTCCAGAATAAGACAGCATGCGAAAGAAATTCAAGTTCTGAGACGCAGCCAATTCTGGCCCATTTTAGTTCGCTAAGAACCTGAGGAAAAGTATATATATCTCTTTATCTTTTCATTGCCTGCTACATTTACCACTGCCAGCATTCTGCTACCTACAATGTGACTAGACAAAAGGACATGGTGATACCTTGTTACAAATGCTCTCTGAAACATTGTCCTTTATACTCTTACCAGTAAGTATACGAGACTCTAGAGCAGGGGACGGCACATCTGGGTATGGAAATTGTATGGTGGGCCATGAATGCTCATGAAATTGGGGGTTGGGGGGCGGGAGGACTCTGGCTGCGGGCTCTGGGGATGAGGGGTTTGGGGTGCAGGAGGGTGCTCCAGGCTGGGACCGAGGGGTTCAGAGGGCGGGAGGAGGATCAGGGCTGGGGCCAAGGGTCAGGCTCCAGGAGGTGCTCACCTCAATCAGGTCCTGGAAACAGCGGCATGTCCCTCCTCCAGCTCCTACGTGGAGGCGCAGCCAGGCTGCTCTGCGTATTCCCCTGTCCGCAGGCACCGCCCCTGCAGCTCCCACTGGCTGTGATTCCTGGCCAATGGGAGTTGCGGGGGTGGCGCTTGGGGTGGGGACAGTGCCCCTACGCATAGAAGCTGGGGGGGGGGGGGGGAGATGTGCTGCTGCTTCCAGGAGCTGTGCGGAGTGGGGCAAGACCCCAACCCTGCTCCCCAGCTGCAGCACCGGAGTGGGGCAAGCCCCAGACCCTCACTTCCCGGCGGGAGCTCGAGGGCCGAATTAAAACATTTGGAGGCCCCCAGGCTGTAGTTTGCCCACCTCTGCTTTAGTGAGATGAAAGCTGAATTTCCATATAGAAAGTTAACATGAACTGTCAGTTTCAGATTAAATATTAAACAGAATATGTAATTACATTTTAATCAAGAGAATTATTGGATTATTGCAATAATCACTGAAGGTATACATCTGTTGTCACTAATTGGTAGTAAATGGAAATCCATTCTCCCCTCCAATTAGTATTAAAGTACAGGAACTCCTCACTTAACGTTGTAGTTATGTTCCTGAAAAATGTGACTAAGTGAATCGATGTTAAGTGAATCCAATTTCCCCATAAGAATTAATGTAAATGGGGGTGGTTAGGTTCCAGGGAAATTTTTTTTTTTTTGCCAGACAAAAGGCATTATACACATTTTAAACAAGAATTTAATACTACAATCACTGCTGAGTATGAAGCTTGGTTGAGGTGGTGGAGTAAGAAAGTAGAAGAGGGTGGATTGTCTGGCTACTCCTCTTGCTGAACTTTCTGAACTTGAAAAAACGCATCTAGAGATTGTTTTGCTTCCCTTTTTAATTTTCCCCTTGGTAAATTTCTTTATAGCCAATCATTAGATGACCAACTCCCCTAATCACTTTGGAGCTGCGTTCCCTGTCAGGATAGTCACCACTCAGGATTTGCAAGCCAGCTTCAATCATTTGGAAAGCTTCAGAAAGACGTTTGGCAGTCAAATTTCGATGGGTTGGTTCTTCTTCTACTTCTTGGCCCTCTTCTTCCATTGCTCTCGTCACCTCTAGTTGCATCAGATCTTCATTGGTTAGCTCTTCTCCGTGTCACTGCAGAAGTTGTGTAATGTTGGCTTCCTCCACCTCATCAAAACCAGCTTTCTTGGCCAAGCCGAGGATATCTTTCTTCATAGCAGGGACAACATGTTTAAATCCTATTAAGTCACTGGAGACAATGAGGCAGGCAAGGAGGCTAAAGGTGCTGTAGGCTAGGAGAAGCATGTTGCGCAGCAGCAGCTTCCTCTACTCTGCAAGCACCAGGGCGGCGGCTCAAATCCCAGCCCGCCCACTCTACCCCTTTCCCCAAGCCCCCACCCTTGACCCGCCTCTTCTCCTCCCCCCCAACCTTTACTTCACAGGCTGCTTCCTCGCTCCTACCCCCTCCCTCCTGCCTAAACATGGCAAGCCAGCCGATTGCCGCGGGCAGGAGGGAGGAGGGGAAAGGCACTGATCCGCAGCGTCTGCTGGGGGGGGCACCGTTGGGATGCGGGGAGCGTAGGGAGGCTGCCTCCTGTGGAGAAAGCAGGCAGCCAAACAACATAAGAGTGGAGCATTGCTCAACTTTAAACAAGCATGTTCCCATACTGATCAGCAATGTAACAACGAAACAACGTTAACCGGGACGACTTTAAATGAGGAGTTCCTGTATTTGTATATTACGTGTGTGTGTGTGTGTGTGTGTGTATAAAAATGTCACGCAAGTAATTTTATTTTGAAATATAATATGCATAAGAGCCTATTAACATACAGAAAGCAGCAAGATAGACTATATAAATTACCTGATGTAAAGAAAACCTCAGCAACCAGTTTCAAGAAATAGGTTGTACATAAATCAGAAGAATTAGGCATGAAGCCTTGACATTTATTTAAAAGAGGCAACAAACACTGTCGTAACTTCTACCCCCTTACAAACAATTACAGTGTTATATTGAGTGTAAGATCTTATGGACAAACTTTCATCACGATGGCACGACCATTAAAATGAGGATCTAGAGAGAGACAGAATTCTGTAAAATTTTTCAGCACCAATTGTCAAACTTGATTCCTCAGCCATTTCCAAATTAAAGCCAGAATCATTCCCTTCCCTATATAACAGTTGTATGGGAGCAGCATAAATATACAAATAGTGTAACTGGTACAATTCCAAAGTTGTATGTCAGAAGAGCTCCAGCAGCATGTAATAAATTTAATACTTTCATGCTGGAAAAGGAAAAAAAGTAACATTCTTACCTTCAATGCCCTTGTTGCATCAGAAGGATTTAATAGGATTTAAGACAGTGCAAGAGAGTCAGGAAAAATTATTTGGAATTAAGATGATGTTTCCAACACACATGGACTAGAAACTAAGTTGCAACTCTGCAAAGCCTGGAGAATCGTGTTAAGATGAAATTCAGATATTAAACAAGGCTTTGGAAATGGATCTGTGGCATCTGTCATTCATTTCTAGTGATACCAGAAGTGATCAACTGAAGTTATTGTGAAATGAGAGTATACCAGACAATCAACTAATTACACAAGTACATTTAAAATTCCAACAACTACAGATATTTGCAAAAATACAGCCATTCCCATCAAGTCACAAAACTTAAGTTTACACATATTACGAATAGAGATTAGCAAGATTTTTTTTCAGGGAAGGAATGTCCAATATTGCACTCCCTGTATCAGAACACCTAATGTATATAATGCTTCAAAACTGAAACCATTTAAAGTTACTGAAGCTTTAGAACGCATGATAGAGAAGATATTTATCTCAGAGAATATAAATACTACTCTTTCACATATTGTATTCTTCTGTGCAGGGAAGATTTGTAAATTGCTTAAGACCTTTCCTCTAAGCAAAAGGAAATTTTCAGGTGAGTTTTCCTAAAAGTTATCTTACAAAAAGAAAATTAACAGTACAAAAGTATTATGTGTCTACCCTAACCAAGACAGAGATATGGTAACCTATGTCTACAAATATTGTAAACTGTTTCCTTTGACAACATGATAGAACTGTTTATGGATAGTATTATGCAGCTCCACCTTTTATAGCACCATTCACACGAATATAAGCCAACTCTGTCTCCTTTAATTTTACATTAACTACTTACAGCAAGCAGGAATTCTCCACAAACAATTGATTCTTGTACCTTTCCCACACACCCCCATTCCCACAGCTTGGAGACTAGCCTCGCTGAAATCACAGTCACCAGGAAAGCTACCTTCTATGATAGGTGAGACAGGGAGCACGAGGCCAAAGGCTCGAAGTGTGGGCTTATGAGCCTGCTACAGCGCTTCCCCGGAGCTTGGGCCCGAGATCCCAACGTGGGTGAAGAGTTGCCTGGCATGGGACTGTGCTCACACCCAGTCTTATTCTTTCCCTTGTGGGAGGTTGGAGACTGGCCTCGTCCCGCCTTCTTGGGCTTCTTAGTGGGAGCCATGGCTGGGGACTGGTGCTGGCTAGTGGATGGTCCCGGTGGGGCGCTGCGCACCAAGGTCACAGTACTCGGCGCCAAGTCGGAGTGTTGCTCCGGTGCCGGGGTGAGGGTCGACTCCATAAGGAGCGCTCTTAGATGAATATCACACTCCTTTTAGTTCTTGGCTTGAAGGACTTGCAAATTTTGCACTTCTCCCTAATTCGTCCTTCGCCCAAGCAACGCAGACAACTGTTATGTGGATCACTAACGGGCATGGGCCTCTTGCAGCAATCACAGAGCTTAGAGCCTAGGGATCAGGACACGCCCTGATCAGAGGCAAAGTCCTGTTCAGGACCTACAAAGTCTCTAACTATAGCTAAGGGAGTTATAAACACTAATAAAAAACTACACACAGTATAAACAGGCGATAACTAGTTTGTAAGAACAAGCACCTACAGCACTAACTGAAACAGCAACAGTTCCAGCACCGTCACTGGCGGCAAGAAGGAACTGAGGATGGGGGGAACTGGCGGCATCCTATATGCTGCGGAATGTGCACGCCACTCCAGGGGGCACCGGAGCTGGTCCCCTACAGATACTGCTGAGGGAAAAACTTCCAGCACCAGCGCATGTGACAAGCACACACACCTACGCTGAATGGACATAAGCAATCACTCGAAGAAGAATGGATAATATTTGTATATTCTTGATGTACTGTCCATCAGATTTCAATTCTCTTCAGTTTTTTTTAAATCATGTGATAACTGTAATGCACCTGTGCTTTGAACTATAACGGTCACGGTGTAAAAGTTATATTTTTTTTGCTCATCTATATATTCAACAAGAAATCGCAAGAAATTCTTTTCAACAGCAAAATCACACAGAAGTCAAACTGGCAGATGGATGTTTAAAACCAAAGCACATGTATTCCATAAAAGATGCAATAAAGCCTCAAGACATTGCTAGTGTCAATTTGCTTAAATGCTCTATGAAAACTATGGAAAATAAATGCTCATCATGTAAAGTATCACTTGAACTAGTTGACATCTGTGGCTAAAAGAAGATATATGAACATGAAACACTATTTCTGACAATCTGACTTCTCATTACTGAGACTAATTTGTCTGCAACGATTGTAATCTTGGACTCTAATTTGTGTAATATAATCTTTTATATTTCAGATAATTCAGTGTTCTTTACGGTTAAGTGTATATAAAAATGCTGGGTAACTCTCCCTCCCCCTTCCCCCCCGCAATTTGAGTTATAATATTGTCACGTATAACCAAAATTATAAGCAACTCAAATCTTTTGACACAGAGCTTCCAGAACACAGAATGTTGTTGCCAACCAGGAGACAGGAAGGATTTTTTTTCCATGATGTCCGAGATTTTTTTTCTGAGAGTGTAATTTTTTCCCAACCCTCTTAAAAATTTCCTCTAAAGTAAAATTTAATTTTGGGAGAAACAACTTAAGCAAAATATTCTATTAGTTAAAGATTACTGTTTAATAAAAATGTCTGATTTGTTAGATCAAGAGACTTAGCCCATTTATTTTGTACTGTTCAGATACAGTATTTTAAAATGATAAGATCTTTACAATTCAACCACTGATAGTCCATCACATCACACAAAACA